GAATGAATATTTTTGTTGCCAAAATTTTGATGCATTACTAGACATTAGTTTTGCAAAAATCTACACAGGTTTTCCGAATACTTTCCCATCTGCCATTGTTGAGGCAGGTAGTCTCACCTCTCAATCACACCACTGGTTGAGCCAGACGTTTCAGACACAGTTTTCACACCGTGTGGTTTCACATTTGCATATTAAACTGCTATAGGAAAAAGTTTTTTAACATGGAACAAATTAAAACAATATAAACTTCAATGTGACACAATATCTTTAAACAAATAAACAATACATTAAATAATAGAAACTTCAATAAAGGACACAGTTTGCTAAATACCGTGTGTGATCTTGTCAGAGACACACTCTGGAGGGGGTTAGAGACCGGAAGCGCTCGGTGTTGACATGAACTCATTACCCTTCAGTCTCAAAGGCACCAGTTTCCTCTAACGTGAACTAATCAGAGCCCTAACCCCGAGAGCGCTAGCACGTCAATACCCTCAATGACATCTGCTGATCACAGGAGTGTGTTAAGAGGAGCTGTGCGAGTCTCAGATCTGTGTGTGTTTAAATTTTCCAATAAGCCAGAGACCCCATTACTTGTAAATCTAATCAACTCTACAGGCCCTCAAAGAAAGATACGCTCATCAATTTAGATCGATGTTTTACCTACAAAGGCATCGATTATTTTAAGTGCCTGATGGAGGTGAAGCGTTTTTAGGTCTGAACAGCTCATTAAAAAGCAGTATAGCCTTTATTAAACTGTAAAACACTGCGATTTAATGAAATAAATAGTCAAAGTTCAAAGTAAATGAGCGGCATTTTGTTTTGTCTTTTTTTCTGTAAGGTGTTGTAGGCTAATTAATTTTTACAGTCTTTTCACACTTGACTCATTGTTAGTTGCTTTTGCAGATCATATATATCATATACTATAGGAATATTATGTACTTCTTTCACTTCAAATCAACCCTTGTGAAAAAGAAGTGCGCTTAATTGTATTGAATGTGCACTTTTAGTGTACCTAAAAATCTTAAAAGTAAATAAAAAATACTTGCAGATAATGTAATATTAATGAAATAGAAGGACACTTAAGTGCACTTAAAGAGTCATTAAAGTACACTTTTAAAATGTGCACTTTGTAATAATGTCAAATTAAAGTTTTATTTTAAAGTTGACTTTAAATAATTGTTTTAATAAAATGTTATCTTGCTTTAATGATGTACATTTATTTTGATGTGTTGATTAACATACTATGTAAATCAACACATCACATGCACATGTAAAATCTTGATTATAATTTAAACTGTAGTGTGTTATTTAATATTACATTTAAAGTGAATATATTTCAAATGAACTAAACGGCAGCTTAAAATACATAAAATACATGAAATACAAGTTTCAATAGAAATGACATTAAAGTATTTAGAGTGGCCTTTTATTGTGGCCAGCCTAAGGCACACCTGTGCAATAATCATGCTGTCTAATCAGCATCTTGATATGCCACACCTGTGAGGCGGATGGATTATCTCGGCAAAGGAGAAGTGCTCACTAACACAGATTTAGACAGATTTGTGAACAATATTTGAGAGAAATAGGCCTTTTGTGTACATAGAAAAAGTCTTAGATCTTTGAGTTCAGCTCATGACAAATGGGGGCAAAAACAAGTGTTGCGTTTATAATTTTATTCAGTGTATTAAAATATAGTTTGGCTTACTACTCAGCAGTACACTTTAACAATATTTCAAAGAAGTAATTATGAAATTACATAGAGAGATGTATTTACGTCCTACTTAAGTGGGTCAAAAAAATCACTTTTAAGTTCAACTAATTGCATTTAATATAAATTGTATATAAATTGAATTTAAATTCAATTAACATGCATTTAAGTGTCCAAAAACATTACATTCTGTTCACACTTACGTATATTCTTTTAGAGTTTATTATTTTTTGTAATAAATACTCTTTTTAAAAGTATGCTGAAGTCTACTTTATTTCATAAGGAAAGAAGTACCATTTGATTTCAAAGATGCATTATGATTCACAGCTCTATTCTTTATCGAATTTGATAAAAATCCCTATGGAGGAAGTGAATGGAAGAATACTTGCTGAACAAGGGCGGTTGCTGTAGCGCTCTATTGGGACGTTAAATGTTTATGATTTCACAGTTTCAATTTCACACTCAATGTTTGTCAAAGTAATACCAATGTGATTTATTTTGACAAAATCGCTCAGCCCTCATATAGGTTTTGATGTTTTTTATTTTCTTGTCCGTATCCGTGTCAGGTTTCTGGTTTTCCCACAGGTCTGTTTGTGGCATTGTTGGTCGGTGGGTCTCTTTATCTGCGTGTAACCACATGTGTGTGCATAGTTGTTTGTCGTGCTGGTGTTTCCTGTCTGTGTGTGTGTTTCCTGTTCTGTCTGTCAGGCAGCATGACCCCCCTCTGTGTGAGTGTGTTTGTGTGCAGGTTAATTATTCATGCACTGAACACACAGCTAAAAGCAGTAACCTGTGATCGCCCTCTGCTGCTGATCCTCAGTGCAAATGGACAAGGACCCCCTCACACACAGAAACAATTACACACTGTACTTTGCCCCCAACACACATACAGACATTTCTGCTGCCTTCAAATCACTTTGGGATTTTCTTTGAGCCACAACTTTTCTGAGTTGCAAACTGTTATTAGTCATAATTAGGTTTTCGTAGTGAATAGTGAAGTACACTTTAGTTTATACACATTGCGTACTATTGATGAACAATAGCTTTAAAGCTAGCTAGAAAATGCTGCTCATTAAGCTTGCTTATGGCAATTTGTCTAATAATGAAACAAATACTGGCCATGTGTTCTGGAAATTCTTTCCAGTGCTATTTTAGTATAATTGATAAACTATAATAGTAAATACTATTAAATATATTGTCAATTTTATTTTTATATTTTCTGTTTTCATTTAAATTTTAGTTAAAGTTTTAGTAATTTTGTTAGTTGTTTTTTTTTGCCCATATAGTTTTCATTAATTTTTATTTATTAGTTTTAGTTTATTTAATTGAGTTATTTAAAAAAAATTTTTTTAATATATTTCAAAATATAACAAAAATATGTATGTACATAAATATATTTTTACTAATATATTTTGGGCCATTTTTTGTTTTGTATATTTTCAAGAAAATAATAATAATAATAATGATAATAAAAAAGTAAAATAATCATTCTTGCCCCTAAAATACATTTTGGAAAATATTGGTGTATGAAGGTTGATATTCAAGAATTTCAAGCAGCAATTTTTAATGGTTTTAGTTTTATTTGACAATAATATTAATTACATTCTTAGTTCAGTACAGCAGTTCATCACAGTGATTTTGTTTAAATGTATAGAATAGGCTAAATGTTGAGTTGTCCGTGATTCCAACATGATACACTTTCATAGTCCAATGATTTACAAATGCTTTATGAATCGATTAGCAAATTAATCATTAAGTAAAACCTGTTTCGAAACGGTTTTATTCACAGATCATTGACTGAGTTCTCTTTAAAAAGCCTCCGTGTCACTCAGCTATGTGTCATCTGAACACTCGTCCTTCATTATTCTGCCTTCCTCTTTTTGTCCAGTGCGAATGCCGCAGGAAGTCAGGATGACCTGGGCAATGATACCGAGCCTGAGGTGGGTCCATCGCTGAGAAGAGACCGAGACCGAGACAGAGACAGAGAGAGGCCTCGTAGGAAAGATACACATGACCATGGTGAGTTTACCCATGAGTCAGTCCTGGCTAATGATGAGGAAACACACAGGCTTGTTTGATGAGTGTTGTCTGCTGCAGGAGGCCGGATGAACGGTCACTCGCGGCCGGAGCGCAGGCCGGAGATCGCCGGCTATGAGAGCTCCTCAACACTGATGAGCAGTGAGCTGGACACCACCAGCTTCTTCGACTCAGAGGAGGAGGACTCTGCTAGCAGGTGAGTCTTGCTCTCACAGACTCATGTCAAGAAAGCAGTCATGGAAAAGAAGGATTTTTCTTACTCTTTTGAAATAGACATCTGATGATGTAGGGCTGGGCGGTAAAGGATTTCATGCCAAGGTCACAATAAAATTTATGTCAATAATAGGGATGCACGATATTTCTGGACCAATATCGGAATCGGGTCCTAAAGCCCGCTCAGTAAGGTGTTTTAATTCCGTAGGGGGCGCTGTTGGCCTACTTCTAATAAAATGAAAGCAAAATACACAAATAATATTTATGATTAAATAAAGCAGTACTTGATGCCATAAAATCATGAGTATGTTTTGATTTAAAGGTCAGAAGCTATAGCTTACATGAACAAAAAAAAAATCACAAACAATGACACTTAATTAAATAGTTTTATATATCCTCCTGAGACCCAGCTATGGTTGCCTCTGTAGTGGACATTATATGTTAGTGAATTTCTTGGAGACCTCACATGTCACAGTTTTAATTCTGGATGTCCTGTACAGAGCACATTCAGGGCTTTTCAGAGATACCAAATGTTTGGATGTTTCACCGTGACCACTCCTTCTCCTTGGATTTTAAAAATGGCTGACATTAATTTAGTGATAAAATTGTACATCCTTATGGAAATATGATCATATTTTGTAATTATAATTTAAATCTGATTCATTTTCAAATTGTTTGTCATAAATCAACATCTCAGGAAAATGTTATGGGGTTTCAAATCAAAATATGACTTCCTGTTATGAAACAGGACATGATTTCATACATGTGCACTGTAGAGGACACCAGGACTAAAAGCATGTTTATTATACATTTTGGGAGACAAAAAAATTTAATAGGAAAACAAATTATATATCAATATTCTTATGAAATATTAGATATTATTATGAAAATCTGGCCAATTACTACTCCCATTATTACACTTCTTTTTTCAACATGCTGTCCCAACAGCACTTTAATATGCAAATGAGATACAGTGTAATATAATTTTTCAAAAATGTTATTTTTTGAATGCTCTAAACAATGTAATGACATGAAAAAATACTAAATTCACAAAGTTTTTTTATTTCTGGTTCTCAGGAGGATAAACTGATTTATTCATTATTCATATTAATGTGTAATATTATATATTTTTTAAACAAATTATGAGCTCTAAAGGATTTTCAGACTTTTTACAACTCTTTTACATTAGACCATTTACAAATGTTAAATCATAAAATAAAATGTTAATGGTACCACTGCATCTTTCTGAAAAAACAAAAAATGCAGTGATTAATATATAGTTTATTTATAGTTATTTTCAAATCTTCAATGTACTGTAATTATAAAATAACTTTATTATTGTTTATATAATTCTAACAAATAAGTTTACCTTAAACTAACCAAAATTAAAAATTATTATATATCGATATCGGCTATCAGCCAAAATTATCGGGATATCGGCAAAAATCCAATATCGTGCATCCCTAGTCAATAATCATGATAAGCTCTGGACATTTTTACTCGTTTAATCTAACAGCAGAAATAAATGTGACAACAGCCAGTCAGTACATGTGGCTAATAAGTCATAGTGCATAGTGTGGTCTACTACACAAACCCAAACACACGTGATGCTCGCTGTGTTATTAGCTTCTGTCGTCTCAATATATGAGGACATAAAAACATGAATTTCATCTGCATATCTGCTCTGAGGGTCACTTCACTTCTAGTTTCATTTGAGAAAAACTACTGTCAAGTACTAACTGAAACCCAAAGATCTTCACGACAAACCACCAAAATAAAAGTTCAGTTTTAACTTGAAATGATGACAGAAATGTATTACTATGTATGTGTATTAAAATTATATGTATGTACTTCTCAAAGTAATAGTATGGTAATAATAGTAGTAATTATTTTTATCAATATCATACAACCTAGATATTTTTTCATCCATGTTTTAATGTATATAGTTCTATTTGCAGCATCTTATTTGACAAATGCAATGTTTTGATTTCATTTGATCACATTTTAAAAGACAAAAAATCAAATGGAAAACACAGGATGGATTTTGGGGAAAATAAAAAGGATTTCCTAAATTAAAAGTTAGATTACGCTGTGTAGAGTTTAATCGTGAACAAACATGTTATGTTTACATTTATTCTCAAGGTCTAACAAAAAGTGGAAAGTATTTCCTAATTGTGATAAATATCGATACCATTTGATATGGAAAAGAATTGTGATAAGATTTTTGGCCATGTCTGCCAGCCCTAGACCGATGTACTATGTAAACAGAACTTTAACAATGCAAAGCGCACTTCCAACCAGACTGTAAAACAGAAAACCCATTAAAAAGCCATTCAGTTAGGTCATTACATTTGACATTTTTTTTCCATGCACAGTTTTTTTCTGTTATCCAGCCATCAGTGGAGACAATTTGTGCAGTAATTTATATTAAGTTTTTTTTCCCTTGCCAATCTGCTATTGTGGTATCTATGATTTCTAATAAACCTGCCTTTAAGCTGCATAATGGTCAGTTTACATGTCAGTCAGACTGAAGAGGGGAAAAAATATTTTGCAAGTAAATATAATCTACTTTAGTATTAGCACATTGAGAACTGTTTGCAATGTGATATTATTTTCAGGATAATTAAGCAAATTTCTCATAATTTTAATGATGATTTTGATTACAATAATACAGTCCATTTTTATTGTATTACAGTAAAGAATACTGTTTTGCAATGATTTTTTTAGTAAAATAAATAAATTTCTTTCTCAATATTTTAACAGTGATTTTCATGACAGTAATACAGACAGTTGTACAAAATAATATTCCTCAATTTTTTAATTTTTTTTAAATAAATTAATTTCTTCTCATTTTTAACAATGATTTTCTTTACAGTAATTTACAGTAATTTTTAACTGCATTATAATACAAAATGGTGTTTTTTTCATTTGATTAGATTTTTTAGTAATATAAATGAATTTCTTTCACATTATTTTTAATAATGATTTTCATTACAATAATACAGTCCATTTTTATTGTATTACAGTAAAGAATACTGTTTTGCAATGATTTTTTTTATAAAATAAATGAATTTCTTTCTCAATATTTTAACAGTGATTTTCATGACAGTAATACAGACAGTTGTACAAAATAATATTCCTCAAAATTTTTGTTTTTTTAAATAAATTAATTTTTCTCACTTTTAACAATGATTTTCTTTACAGTAATTTACAGTAATTTTTAACTCCATTATAATACAAAATAGTGTTTTTTTCCCCCATTTGATTAGATTTTTTTGTCATATAAATGAATTTCTTTCACATTATTTTTAATAATGATTTTCATTACGGTAATACAGTCCATGTTTTATTTTATTACAGTACTAAATACTGTTTCGCAATGATAAAAAAAAAATTGTTTTTAACAACGATTTTCATTACAGTAATACAGTCGATTTTTATTGTAATAGTAAAAAATACAAGTTTTGCAATGCTTTTTTAATTAAAATAAACGATTACATTTTCATTAAATTGTTTTATTTAAAAATTAAATGTATTGATTAAAGACTGTAAAACAAAAGCTGGCATATACATTATAATAATAGTAATAAAAAAATAATATGTTAATCTTTATTTTCCATGTTACAGTAATGAGAATGACACTTTGTAGTTCGCATTACCGTAATGAGAATCAAAGGACAGAATGAGCTTGATGGTCCTGAAAATAATATCAAAATGGCAAAAAATCTTAAGGGTCCAAATAGTTTTTAAGGGTCAAAAGTATTTTGCATAAAGATTATTAAATCTATTACAAGGACCCTTTCTGCTTCATCCTAATCAATGACAGTGTGAACTATGCTGATGTTTTTCACATGTAAAGAGGCCAGCCTTCACAGAGGTCATCTGAATATGGGCATGATAAAGTTATATATACAAAAAGATCCAATTGTAAGAGTCAGAGATACGGTGGAACTATACATGCTAAGTGTAGCTTATGGCTCTTCATATCGCCTCCTCATGAAGATGACTTAATGTACACTCAAATCACATGCTCTGGAAAGCCAACACAAAGCATGGTTTTCCATGCTCTGATACACTACTACACTAATGCAGACGATTGGCTGGTAAGCATCACGTGACTCTCAGGACCAATCAGAGCTGAGAGGACTGTAATGTGCATTATATGTGCACAAAAGCCACGTTCAGGCTGAATATGATGTTTTGAAGATCGTGTGTCATCTGTGATGCTGCTACAGGTTCAGCAGCTCTACGGAGCAGAGCACATCGTCACGTCTCATGAGACGCCATCGCCGCCGCAGACGGAAACCCAAAGCACCCAGAATGGAGAGGGTGAGACTCCAGATAAACCTCATGGCTATCAGTGTTGAAGTTTTGTCTCTTTAAGTGTGTCCTCATCTCACGCTCTCTTTCTCTCGATCTCTCCAGTCCTCATCGTTCAGCAGCATAACTGACTCCACCATGTCTCTGAACATCATAACTGTCACATTAAACATGGGTGAGTATGTGTGCATGTATATCCGTTGAACATGCACCACTCCGTTAAAGACAACATGAATGACATTCACTAACGACGCTCATTTCTGAGTGGAACAGAGATGTAAAACAGGACTTCAGTTTTCCATCTAGATTTAATTAGATTGTCAAAAGTTATGTTTTTTTTAATGTTATTGAAAGAAGTCTTTTATGCTCACCAAGGCTGCATTTATTTGATCAAAAATACAGTAAAAACAGTAATATTGTGAAATATTTTTTACAATTTAAAAGAAAGGTTTTCTATCTGAATATGTTTTCAAATGTAATTTATTCCTGTGATGCAAAGCTGTATTTTCAGCATCATTACTCCAGTCTTCAGTGTCACATGAGCCTTCAGAAATCATTCTAATATGCTGATTTGCTGCTCAATTAATTTAGATTATTTTTGGTATTATTAGCAATTATTAACGCGTTTAATCCCACCGGTCACAATAGTGACCGTAAAAAAGGTTTTCATTTATAAAGCTCTAAAAACCTTACTGACTGATGTTTTAGTGCACTTCCTGCAAATATGGAAAAAATAAAGGGTCTCAATGAAATATGTGCAGTTTCACATGATTAGTGCAAATTGTCACATGACCAGAGCAGTTGTTAGATGTTAACTGCATCAAAGCTCCAAAACAAAGGCTAGTAAAGTATGTTAACATAAAGATATGACAAAGATTTTTGGTCCACATTATCATTAAGGTGTCTAGTATTAATATATGAATTCACATATATTCAGTTCTGTTGAGTGTGGTCATAGAACGAGTAAACATGTTGATGGTCACAATAGTGACCGGTGGGATAACAGTGAATCTATGTATACAATATAAATCCAATTGCAGTTGCTAGTGAAAATTACACTAAAATGTTCAAATAAATACAATTAAAATGTTACAAAAAATTTGCAATATTGATGTTGTAATACTGGTAGCACTAATATAAAAATTGGATGCTATATTTTACAAAAAAGTAACAATTTTGAAATGCGTTGATGGTTGAATTTTTTTGTTTATGATCTCAGTGTTCCTATCAATGTTGCATTAAGGTTTTTTTATGGATAATAATAATAACCCTAGAATGGGATCAAACTGTTTAAAATAGCTGGGCTAAGATATATAACAATTTTTATGACTGCAGAAATATGTTAATTCAGTACTCACCTTATCCCACCGGCCGTAAAACACAATTTTTCACACTTTTCCAAAAAAAAAAATTGTTATTGATTATTTCAAAGGGTTACTAATGACACATCATTTGGATATTTTCATGTCTGGGAAAAATTTGGGATTAAACGGGTTTTAATATTGGTTCTTATGATTGTTGAAAAACAATTTTACAGCTTAATATTTTTATGGAAACTGTGATAATCTTTGATCAATCGAAAGAACAATATTTATTTGAAATATACATTTTTGTAGCGTTATAAATTACTGTACTGTGACTTTTGATTAGTTTAATGCGTCTTTGCTGAATAAAAGTATTGATTGCTTGAAATCCAAGATTTCCAGCACAAAATCTTTCCCAGAAACTATACAATGTGTTTAACAAAAAAACTGAAAGTGGAGGATGATGAATGCAATGAAAAGCTTGCAGGGGCGGAGTCTAAGAGCACTAAATGATTGGAGAAGACCTGCATACATCACCAGACACCAGTCTGACATTTTCGCTGGAAGATCCAGTTTTGACATTCTGATTAAACGTTACAAGGACAAAACATTTTTTTAAAAATGCAACATATGAACGGATGAATTGTTCACAATAAGATCTATAACATGCATTTAGAAATAGAAACTAGATTGAATTTTCATTTGGGCCTTGTGTTTCTTTCAGTTTATTACATTATATTAATATTCCTTTAATATCTATACCCATGGAAAAAAGGTCATCCAAGAAGTGGAGAATGTTACTATTTTTTAACAAATGATTATGAAGATAAAAATGTTGCACTCTAACAATACTAAATCTATACTCTGCTGTTCATCTCTCATTTTGCTTTTCTCTCTCCCCCTTACTATAGAGAAGTATAATTTTCTGGGCATTAGTATAGTCGGGCAGAGTAATGAGAGGGGCGATGGAGGAATCTACATCGGCTCCATCATGAAGGGTGGTGCGGTGGCTGCTGACGGACGCATTGAGCCTGGTGACATGCTTCTGCAGGTCTGGTTTGGCTGCTTGATTTGTACTGGAAGATATTCCTGCTCATGGTTGTTGTGATTTATAAGAGTTGCTTTCTTTTGTTGTAGGTGAATGATATCAACTTTGAGAACATGAGTAATGATGACGCAGTGAGGGTGCTGCGAGAGATCGTCCATAAACCTGGGTAAGAGGTGGACACCGTGATGTCTGGTGCTCTTATTATGGACTAAATGAGATTGATATCAGCACCGACATTTCTTCTAATTGTGTATGTTCACATTTACAGACCCATCACACTGACTGTGGCCAAATGTTGGGATCCAAACCCCCGCAGCTGTTTCACCCTCCCACGAAGTAAGAGATAGTGGGTTACAGTGCTATTAAAGAGAATCTTTTGCTTTAAAGAAATACACTTATTTTGATGTGTTGACTAATATACTAAAGCACGTGTACTTGATCATAATTTTATTGTAGTGTGATATTTGATATTACAGTTGAAGTTAGTTAATATATTTTAAATGTACTTAAGTTCAACTTCATCATTACAAATGTATAATTACAAATATATGTAAATACATTACTTAGAAGTTTCAATAAAAATGACAGTCAGAGCTATATTTTAGTTTACCTTAAATGCTGTCAGTACATATCAAAGACAACATAATTATTAAATCACAAATAAAAATGTCCTTTAGTGGATTAAAAGCACTCTTTAAGTTCAGATATCTGCATTTAATATAAATGAATAAAACTATTTAATACAATAAAGTAAATAGCATGCGAATAAGTGTATTATACTCAGTTCACACCTAAGTATATTCTTATAAAGTAAAATTTAAAAGCATTATTTCCGTAATAAGTACTCTTTTCAAAAGTATGCTACTTTTTCACAAGGGTGAGTTTACAGCCACTGTTGTATTTGATTTGATTGGTAACCGTCATAATTGTTTTAAATAATAATTCATTTCAGAGAATGCATTAAATTGAAGTTGGATGTGGACATTCCGCTAGTGTCTTCAGAAGTAAAATATTAGTTTTCCTCTCAGGTTCAGATGTGGTGGATTGGCTCTATCATCACGTTGAGGGCTTTACTGACAGACGGGAGGCACGCAAATACGCCAGCAACCTGCTAAAAGCTGGCTACATCCGGCACACTGTCAACAAGATCACTTTCTCTGAACAGTGCTATTACATCTTTGGTGACCTGTGCGGCAGTGAGTTCTTTGATTTCTCCCCACTCTTTCATATTGAAGCGTCTTTCATTTATTCATTTGGAGTGAACTCTATTCCCTCCTGTTTGTTCCTCTTCTGTCTCAGATATGGCCAGTCTCACCTTGCATGACCATGACGGTTCTAGTGGGGCGTCTGACCAGGACACTCTCGCTCCGTTGCCTCACCCTGGTGTAGCTCCCTGGCTGCTCACATTCCCTTATCAGTACCCGATCCCTCACCCGTACAATCCCCACCCTGTGCACGACCCCAGCCACAGCGTCACTGCAGGGGGCGGCAGCGCTGGCAGCCCGCACAGCGAAGGTGAGACTGCGTTCGATCAGGGGCGGAAATTAACCTGGTGCTTGGGGCAAAAATACCACCAAAATGAACAATAATGCCCCCCAAATTCAGGATATGAGCGCCACAACTGCCCCTGCACAATTAAAGTAAAACAAATGTGAATATAGATTATATAGAATTACATTTAATTCTGCTCAGCTTCAGCATATTAGAATGATTTCTGAAGGATCATGTGACACTGAAGACTGTGGCCAAATGACAGAAAAAAACTGAGTGCCACTAAACTTTATAACGTGTAAATTGATGAAAATGTAATGTGATGAACTTCTAATGCCATTCTAATGACGCACAAAACACAGATGTCCAACATTCACTGATGAAAAGCCTTGTAACTCCACTTAAGCTTGATTTTGGTAAAATGTTAATAATATAATGACATATGCAAGTATCTGACCATCAGTGTTGGGCTGTAACTCATTACTTAGTAACGCGTTACTGTAATTTGATTACTTTTTTAGTAACGGAGTAATTTAACGCGTTATAATTTTCAAAATAGTAATTAGAGTATAGTTACAAGCCGAAGTCTCTATACGTTACTGCCGCGTTACATTGCTGACAGAATGCAGTGTTTTATAATCTAGAGATTGTAAAAAGGATGGATAATCCAGTGGATTAGAGACCTGCTCCCGCGAGACCCGACGCGACAGAGTGCGACGCGGGACAAGATGGGCGAGTGCTGGTGCGGGCGGGGGTAGACACTCGTGTGTGTGCGGGATGCGGGAGAATAAAATGATTCACGGGACTCCCGCAAAATAGAAATATCTAAACATAATTATAAATGCAGCGCTCATTGCTGACATTCTGCCATCCAAACCATGCACGCAGCAGCCGCTGCTTTAGCTAAAAATAACAGTGTTCTGTGAATGTTGATGCTTTAATAACAAATATTTATCGGGAGTGTGTATGCTGGGATTTCATAAATTTCATGGAGAAAAATGTAACGTAACTAGTAATGTAACTAATTACTTTTGAAATAAAGTAATCAGAACAGTAACGTGATTACTTTTAAAAGGAGTAATCAGTAATCAGTCATTTGATTACATTTTCAGAGTAACTTGCCCAACACTGCTGACCATATATAAAGCCATCTTTGACAACACAGGGTTTACATTTTTTTTTTAAATACAGTGTTTTTTCCATTTCCTGAAAAGTAGTGGTTTTGAACAGACAAGCAGTATACACATAGTCTCACTATTTTGACTTTTAGCTGTTATAGTTTTTCGAAGGACAAGATCACTTTATTTTGGCATGATGCCAATAGAGACGCAAAGATGTGTGTGTGTCTGTGTGTGTATAAATACAGAGTTCTGGCATGAAACTCTAGATGGC